TATTTTTGGTAGAGACGGGGTTTCACCATGTTGACCAGGATGGTCTCGATCTCTTGACCTCGTGATCCACCCGCCTCGGCCTCCCAAAGTGCTGGGATTACAGGCTTGAGCCACCGCACCTGGCCGCATTCATCATTTTTGAAATATGAGAATGTGTGGGAAGGGAGCAAGGTGAGATAGGCCCGGAAACATTGGGAGGGGTGTAGGGAGCAGTCGGAGAGGAAGAGATAGATTGGGGTGGGGAGGAAGAATAGTCTCACTTCCACATCCCGGGACCCCCAAAAAAGAAGTTCTTAGGACACATCCATTTTTCTGGTGTAATGTTACTACTTACCCTGATCCAGGCACTCTGGATGAAAGTTAGGTGGGTGGCTTCCTGGCCGTGGCTCACGCCTGTAATCCAGCACTTTGGGAGGCTGAGGCAGGTGAATCACCTGAGGTCAGGAGTTTGAGACCATCCTGACCAACACAGGGAAACGCTTTCTCTACTAAAAAATACAAAATTGGCCGGCTGTGGTGGCATGCGCCTATAATCCCAGCTACTTGGAAGGCTGAGGCAGGAGAATCGCTTGAACCCAGGGCAGAGGTTTCAGTGAGCCAAGATTGCGCCACTGCACTCCAGCCTGGCAAAAGTGCAAAATTCCATCTCCAAAGAAAGGTGAGTTCCTTAGTTTACAGTTAAAGATGATCCCATGGGTAAGAAGCCAGACCTCACTGATGTTAGTACCTCAGGAAGACCATAGAGGGTAGTATCGTGCAGCAGTTAAGAGCCCAGCTTCGGAGCCTGACAGACCTGAGTTTGAATCCTTCCTTCGCTCTTTGGTAGCTTTGTGTGTAGCCTTGGGTAAGTTACTCTATCTAAACCTCCAAAATTTCATTTAAAAACACTTCACAAGACAGTTTTGAGAACTAAATGAAATAACCTATGCAAAGGACTTTGCAAAGAAACTGCCAGATAATGCAACATTACAAATGGCAGTGGTTACTATTATTGGCCCAGTTTTATGCTTTGTAAGTCTTTTTTTTTTTTTTTTTGAGATAGAGTCTCGCTCTGTCGCCCAGGCTGGAATGCAGTGGCATGATCTTGGCTCACTGTAACCTTCACCTCCCAGATTCAAACAATTCTCCTGCCTCAGCCTCCCAAGTAGCTGGGATTACAGATATGTGTCGCCACGCCTGGCTAATTTTTTGTATTCTTAGTAGAGATGGGGTTTCACCATGTTAGCCAGGATGGTCTCGATCTCCTGACCTCGTGATCCACCCGCCTTGGCCTCCCAAAGTGCTGGGATTACAGATGTGAGCCACTGTACCTGGCTGCTTTATAAGTCTTAAAAAATCAAATTTTTTGTTATAGATTTATTGAGAGTAATTGAAGTACAATACATTGTAGGTGTTTAAAGTGTACAATTTGAAAATTTTTTGTTTTTGTTTTGTTTTGTTTTGTTTTTTAGAGACAGAGTCTTGCTCTGTCACCCAAGCTGGAGTGCAATAGTACGATCTCAGCTCACTTGCAACCTCCACTTCCTGAGTTCAAGCGATTCTCCTGCCTCAGCATCCTGAGTAGCTGAGTTTACAGGCATGTGCCACCATGCCTGGCTAATTTTTGTATTTTTAGTAGACACGGGTTTCACCATGTTGTTCAGGCTGGTCTCAAACTTCTGACCTTGTGATCCGCCTGCTTTGGCCTCCCAAAGTGCAGGGATTACAGGCATGAGCCACCTTGCCTAGCTGAAAAGTTTTGACAAATGTGTATACCCATGAAACCAACACCATACTCAAGAGAATGAACGTAACAGGTCACCCCAGAATTTGCCTCTTGCATCTTTGTAATCTCACCACCCTACCACTCCCAGCCCTGTCCCCAAGCAACCACTGACCTGCTTTCTGCAACTATAGATTAGTTTGCATTTCTAGAATTGTAGAATTGTACATAAATGGAATCCCACAGCGTATATGTATGTATACTAAATATATGTAAATTAGCCAGGCATGGTGACAGGCACCTGTAATCCCAGCTACTCCGGAGTCTGAGGCAGGAGAATCGCTAGAACCCAGGAGGTGGAGGTTGCAGTGAGCCGAGATCATGCCACTGCCGTCCAGTCTGGGCGACAGAGTGAGACTCCATCTCCAAAAAAAAAACAAAACATAGCATTGCTACGAACATTTGTGTACAAAGTCTGTGTGGACATATGCTTTATTTTCTCTTGTGTAAATAGTCATGTGTCCTCAGGCACAGGGATATGTTGTGAGAAATTCATCCTTAGGCAATTTAGTCATACAAACATCTTAGAGGTACTTACACAAACCTAGACAGTATAGCCTACTACACACCAAAGCCATATGGTACAGCCTCTTACTCCCAG